GGTCCTGATACTGTACCATGCACATGGGCCTATGTGCAGCAGCAGAAATCTGCAAGAACATCAACACATGAGAATGGAATGAGCAAGCAGTAGATTTCTAGAAACTGAAATTAAGAAATTTTACACTGCATCATTGACTTAAAGTAAGGAGAAATTGAGACCATTGAACATGTATATATATGTATACAGATATACATATATATATGCATATACACAAGATGTAGTACAGAAACAATCTAAATGAATACCAAAGGACCAATAATTATGATGGACTTGTTGAAAATTTTTTGCAGTTGCCGAAGAGCTAACATGGGAGGAAAAATGGGAAAGGACCAGCCAAAGCAGATGACTATTACAATGATGGATTACGTAATACACAGCACATGATATTTAACAGAATTCAGAATACATAATAACTTGATGAGTTAAAAGTCAAAATATTTTAAGTTGCAGATCACAGAATTCATTACAACTAGTTTATGAACAGATTGATTTTCAACAGATTGATTTTCAGTAGACAATAAAAAAAATTGATTTTACAACAGATTGATTTTCAGTAGACAATAAAAAAAAAATTCTTAGCAAAAATCATGTGTAGGCTGAGCTTTCATGATCAAATTCTACAACCTTACTGCAAAGCTTTTAAGAGGATTTTCCCCTTTTCCACTAAAATGTATGGCTCTTCCGCAGCTCCCCATTGAGTGAAATGGATGCCTTACCCACGCTATTTCCCCACGCAGTTCACTAGCAACATCTATAATTGGTAGGAATGCTGTGGCACAAAGAAAGGAAAATTGTAGTTTTCTGTGCTCCGTGTTGCGAATGAAACATTTACCATGTGAGAAACTTACCACTGTGCGAGTGCTATCCAAAGCTTTAGATGGTCTCGAATAACAGATGGCATTTATAGCTTATTTTACTCTTTTCTTAGATGATGAGGATCATATCTTATATATGTCTTTATTTAACAAAAATATACAATATTAGATACTCAGATAATCATTGACTTTATAATAAAATCTTACCTGGGGTAAATAACCTCATCTTTCTTCCATGGGTGGTGGGTTTGAACTGCTTACCTTATGGTTAGTAGCCCAATACTACAAGCTGGCTCTACTTTATAGTTAAAGAACATGTTTTCATTGGATTAGCATTGTCTGTGAGAGCATCATATCACTGAAACTTATGTATATAATATTACATATTATTAATATATAATATATTATATATAATTATAATATATAATACATTATATACAATATAATGTATTATATATTATTAATATATAATAATAAAATTTCCTTAAGCTTTTTAGAAAATAATGCCAATTAACCATTGTCAGATCTGATCTCGACCAGTGAGTATATACAGGAAAATTGACCTTATGTATTCTTTCCTTTATATAGTTAAAAAATACTTATTACATATCTATTTCAGGAACTGAGCCAACAGCTAAATAGAGAGACAGTCAAGACAGCCATATATGCCTGCCTTCATGAAGCTTACATTCCAGTGAAGAGGTAGAATATCATTTAGTAAAGTGATATTTTTGAAACATTATTTTCGGTAACTTCATTGAGTTGACCATCTGATTGACAAATCCTCAAAAAGGGAATGAAATACTGCCCTGCCCTGTGCTATGCCCATGGTGCCTTGGTGATTGCTTAGAATATCACCAGCCCTTTCTTCCTGGTCTGTCTTAGTCTGGAAGCTATGATGAAACCTGTTCAGCATCACAGCAACATGCAAGCCCTTAGTTACAGACATGTAATAGCTGTGCAAGAGCCTCATTGGTTGAAAGGTGAATGCAGATCTCTGGCTTGGAAGGCAATAATTCTCCAACTAACCCACTAATACCCCAATACACCAATGCACATTATATGTTATAGAGAAAAGTAGCAGGGGACTAAGGTAAAATATGGAGCTGAGCAGGAGAGACCTTGTTCACATAAAGTAGTTAGCAAATGTTTCCTTGAGAGGGTGCTTTTTAAGCTGAGTCCTACAGACTGAGACAGGGTTGGGCAAATGGGGAGCCAAAGGAAGTGTTTCGCGGATCAATAGGACAGCAAATGCAAAACCTTAGCATAATGAAAAGGAAAGTAAACCAATGTAATTGGTGTATCATTTGCTACCAGATTATGTTGCATAAAGAGATTTAAATTAACATAATTATTGAGTGGTGAAAATGGTTAACAAGCTTACCAACTGCTGAGGTCCATCAAAAAGTACTTCACAAGAGAGGCCTGGTAGTCTCCTAAAATCCGTCACCGAGAACCCTAGGGAGTACAATCTAATGTGGCACCCATGGGACAGTCAGGTGTCGAATCAACTCAACATACATTTGCTTTAATTCATGCAAAACCACATAATCCATGTGATACAGCCTAGATGTAAGCAGGTCAATCATGTATCTGTAGAATTCAAGAGTGGAAGACTGAGCAGAATTTTAGTTTGATAAATGAAAAGCAAGTTGTTTGAAAACATCATTGACGTTAACTTCATACAGAAAGATGATTAATATTATTTTCATCCTTAAATCGGACTTCTGCCTACTGCTTTTTACAGGTCTTTGCATTTTGTATAATGTGATTTTTTCTGCAAATAGCAATGTTCCCTAGCTCTTTGAATTATAACTATTGAAAAGGTACAGGGAGTAATTAACTTTTTAAAGACTAAGGAGTGGGACACTGATATGTGACATTGAAAACAAAAATCTATAGTGGTATTGTGAAAACTACTGTTTTTGTTTGTTTGCGTTTTGGATATTGAGCATCAGGTAAAATACTGAAAAATAAATATAAAATTATTTTTCTCTTTCCACTTCTTGTGTCTTACACCTGCACTTTTGTCTTATATATAACATCTGTCTTATTTTCTCCAATACTTTACTTATTAAAGGACCCAGTTGTTGAAGTCTTATACTTGGAGCTATTCTTCTGAAAATATTTCTTGTCAAACGTATCAGTCTCAGGTGATTCTTCGCTGGAAAAATACTAGCAATTGATAGTAATTTAACTTGGCAGGTTTTCTTTCTTTATTTTCCTGTAACTTTGTTTTGAACTATGAAAATTACTTTTAAAATTAAAAAAAAATGAAGCCCAACTCAGAAATCATTTAAAATCAAAACACATTAGGCGGTATTCAGAATGTAAAGCCTGAACAGGCAGGCCTTTTCCCAGAGACTGTGTGGAGAGACAAGGTTCCACGGTAGTGAGTTTCAGAAATACAGTGAACCCTCGTTTATCGCGGTTAATCGGTTCTAGACCCTACCGTGATAAATGAAATTCCGTGAAGTAGGATTCCTTGTCACGATGTGCTTTGCTTCCTTGTTGAAAGTGAAAGTAGCCGTAGCACGAATGTTTTTTTCCTCTTTACGGATGGAGCGAACTGAAGACTCATTCAAGTCGAAATGGCGTGCAACCTCCACGATTTTCTTGCCATCTTTGATCATATCCAAAAGTTTTACCTTTTCCTGGATGGTGAGCATCTTCCTCTGGCGCTTATTTTTATTGTCAGAAGGCTTAGAAGAAGCAGCTCGTTTAGGAGCCATCATAGGGCTTAGATAAAATTTCTTTAAAATCGCAAACAATTACAGTACACTGTACAAAAGCAAAAATGCATCTGATACGTAGCTCCGATAAGTAGCGATGCAGACAGAAGCGTGTACAGTATGAGCCAATCAGTGGCAGTAATGACAGCATGCGCTGTTACGCAAAAACCACGATAGAGTGAAGCCGCGGAAGTCGAAGCGCGAAGTGGTGAGGGTTCACTGTAGTTCCTTTGGCTCCTTGTCCATAAAAGTCTATTGGAAATCTCGGTCACTATCTTTCAGGAATCTGCCCAGATTCTTGTATTATGTAATAAAAAAGATTTCTTGTGATTAAACTCTTTCATGATTATTATTCAAATGTCAAGTAATACTATCATGATTATGCTCATTCCAATTCAAAAAATTAAATGGCCACATATGAATTCAATAAGGTTACCTTATTAATACTGTTCTCCTGAAAAATATATGTATTATTGAATTTTGTTTTTTAGTAACTATTAGATCACACATGTTATATCAAGTGTTCTATTTCTACAGAATCCAAACTGAAATTATCACATATTCCCAAGGAATACATATGATTTACATAATATTTAAAAAATTTAAATAACTTGTAGTAATAATGACATGTATTTCCCATATGTGTCTATCCTCTAGTAAATAATTTATCCTTCTTCCCTATCAAACCTACTCACTGCCATCAAGCAGCATCTGGTCTGAGTGAGAGCAACTCTGTAGAGCAGAGTTGGGGAACCTTTTGACTTTTGAGGGCCATTTGAATATTTATAATATCATTCAAGTAGCATACAAAATTATCAACTTAACTATTATCCTGCTATATTGGAGCAAACATTTAATTAACACACATCTAGTGTGATAGCTGCAATTGCTTCTCTTTGGGGAGGCTTGTGATGCTCGCTGGTTTTAATGATTTTAATGATTTATATAACCCATGGGACAGAGATTCCTCACCCCTGCTTAGAAAAAAAAAAAACTAGCAGAGAATATTTATTTTCATGTGAAAACTTTTCTTGAAATTTGATAATCGTGGACTCTACAGTAGTTGTCCTATTATGGTTGGCTTATTTCACCCAGCATAACGTCCCCCAGGTTCACCCATGTCATGAAAGTGTAGCAGATTCATCATGATTCTTTAGCATTGCCTCGTCTTCCATTGTGCACAGACGACGAATTCTTCTGTTGTTCAGGATATGGGCATTTAGGTGGGTTCCATCTCTTTTGCTATTGTAAGTAGTGCTGAAACTTTTAAAAAATCCGTTTTCCTGAACTCTGTTTCTGACTTAAAGTACCTTTTCCTCATAACTGTATAAGCCAAGATGGTCATTAGATCTTCTATGACCCTGTAATACTTAAAGGTAGAAGTCATTTGTAAGTCTAAGTGAACTGTGTGCATCGGGGAATTAATCGCATTTTCTGTTACACCCAATAGCTGCTCCTGGAGCACCTGGAATGCCTGGTGTCCCGGCACGAGAGGTCACTCCGAATGACGGTGGTGAAACGGCAAGCTCAGTCCCCCTCAGGAGTGTCCAGTGAAGTTGAGGTTCTCAAAGCCCTGAAGTCTTTGTTTGAGCACCACAAGGCTTTGGATGAAAAGGTACAGTATGGACAAACGAACCGAAGCTTAGCTGTGCTTTTGCCATCAGCATGAGCTATCCCATGTCTTCATTCATTAAGTCACCTGGCTCACCTCAACTCCTGAGTAAGTCAGTTCAGAGTCCACGAGTTCTATGAGACATATTTTTAATATTTGTAATTCAACTCTGTCACTATGTGTATATTGGTAATATTAGTACCCATGCTCTTTTTGATAACCCAGGCAATCTGTGGCTTATCATCTTTTAACATCTAGAAAGACTCATTAAGGCAATATTCTAGATATCCAATTGAAATTTAATATATTATTGGAATCACTCTCCTTTTTTCCCCCTATAAAGTATGTGTTAATTACATAAACTTTGCAGTGCACATTAGTTAAACTTCAACTAGTAGGGTTTATATTAGAAGTATAGAAATGTATTTTATATCTCTAATATCTTAAATGTATATACATTTCTAAAAATCTCTGCATATAATAACAAGATAATAATAGAAAACATGTTTTTAGGTCTTTTCAAATGTAATTGTAAGCTTTCCTTAGCTGGTGCTCAAAAAGAGTCTTTTGATATATGTCAATATGACAAAATTAAACTTCAAAATTAGTAAGGGCTATGACATGATTTAAATTTTTTGAAATCGCAAAGAGTGATTTACTTTTTAATTTAAGGAACCTTTAATATTTTGTAGCATGAGATTTAAAGCTCTTCATTGTAGTAACTCAAAATTTCTGAGTATTGTTTTCCAAATTAAGGATTATTTGCCAATAATTTTTGCTTATTAAACAGGCCAGTACTTTTGGATGTGTAGGTATATACATGAATGTGTCTCAGAATTTCTGATGTTCTTCTTAGAGCAGGGGATTATGTGGAATGTGTGCATAAAGATAATTTTGTATCCTTTTTTTGGCCTTTTAGCCATGGGAGGCAACTAATTCTTGAACAATTTTTAATGGAACAGAAGTAAATCCTACTAAATATAATATTAAGTATCACATAATAAGGAGAAAAATATCACATAATAATAATTCAGTGTTTAAGTTCATGCTATAATCCCTTATAGCACCATAGCATGGCTTTACAAGGTTTTATATTTATAGAATATGTACATGTCAGACCATTTGGCAGGCATTGGGTGCATAAGCATAAATAAGGCATTGTCCGTATTATTGAAGAATCTCCAGTTAATGGATATTCATTTGTCAATAAAAACCCATGAAAAGCCATCTATTGGGGATGTGGAGTTCAGAACAGGTTTTGACTAACCATGCTTGACTGGAAAGGGAGTTTCACAGACATTTAAGCTGGGTATGACAGAATGAGAAAATTCTATGAGGGAAGAAAAGTACTTGAAGCAACAAGACCAATTATAGAACAATAAATACTATAAGATGAGCATGGTTTATTCAGAGAAAATGTAATCGTTTTGAATTTCTTGAGTAAAGGTGTATAATAATTTGTTGCTTTCAAAAGGGATGATTTTGTGAAAGAAGGATTATTCCCCAGGGGGAAAAAGAAAAATAGGCATTATTTAAAACAATCTGATAAGTATGAGAACATTTAAGAAGAAAATAATTACTGTATCACTTATGATCCGGAAATATTTTACCAGATAAAGGAATCCATTAAACTTCTTAACTCAACTTACTGCCAGTGAGTCTCTTTCCCCTCATAGCCACCCAATGACAGGACAGAGCAGAACTGCCTCTGTGGGTTTCCAAGGCTGTCAATATTCATGGTAGTAGAAGCCAATGTGTTCTATAATATGGCCCAAGAGGCTTTAGCTCACCAGAATTACTCTGAATAGTGATGAGTTTAGAGGCAACTGAAGTTATTACCGAAGTGGTATCATTCACTTTTGGAAACACTGATTTAGGTCCACTTTCTTATTTCAAATAGTATTTTATTTAGTTACTGAAGGTCTAATACAGAACCAAGAACATTCATAGATAAATTCCCTATGTAAGAAAAACACATAGCTTTGTGAGAATGAGTAGAGGTGATAAAACACACTAATAACCAAAATTTATTTTGAAACTATTTTTATGATATAAAGAAAGTTCAAAGAAGCCAATCTTGACTTGGGAACATCAAACTACCAACTTTGCCATGGAGGCTTTAGAATTTATGTGGCACTCAATAACCTATACAGCATTGAACAACGCTGTAGATCAATGTAATAACTGGCAGTCTTCCTTATAGATGTACTTTTTAATGCATCTACTGAGGTGAGGGGCCACCATAATGTAGCACGTTCACAATGATCTAAGACCAACAGTCTATTGGCATCACTCTTCAATATGCTTACAAACAATATGGGCTGAAGAGAATGAGAAATATTTCTGCGTTTTGCTGTCAGTTATAAATATTATTTTATAAAGCAGATATATGGAGCTGTTATTGGCAATGCAACCTCCAAACATAATAAATATACTTTTACTGCTTATGTACTTACACAGTCTAAAAAGTAGTACAATGGTAAAAGTGGATTTGAACTTTGTCTAAAGATAAGTATTCAAAGCTATTTTGTTGTAGGATTAACAATTCCTAAAACAAAACCTTGGCATATCTATTTCTAGTGTGGGATATTCTGGTGGTTTGTTCCAACAAAGTCTCTCTTTGATGAACTTGACATTTTGAGGGATTTATTTTACTTATATTTATAGTGATATGATGTTTATCATCTTAGAATATATTTTAAGTAAAAAAAAGTATCAGGATCATTTTATCCCATTATGAAGAAAGTAGGCACAACAGCTAAAATTAGGAATTTATAGATATTTATAAATCATATGTTTGGATGTTACACTATATAGGTCTTTAAATAAAAAACTGATACATGTTAAAACTAGATAGACAACCCATTAATTGAAAGTGGTTAATTTGCATGCAAATAACAAAAAATTAATAGTGGGATAACTTTATAGACTGTGCACTATTTTCATGAAAGAAAGGCTGTCATTTTATTCACGCTATGTACAACAAGTCTACATAGTTTTAAAAGAACACTAAGTCCAATAGGAAATGTAAAACCACTAGAGCTTTTAAAAAAAATTATTTTCTAGCTAAGCTGAACAGTGATCAGAGATGAAGCTTACCTGTTGCATCTGTCTGAGTTTCCCAAGAACTAACTACACAAAGAATAGAGCATGCATGTAACAATATATAGATATTTCCAACACCAATTTCATACTTACAACATTGATTAGAATATAATTACTTCATAGGTCATACATTATGTTTGTAAAATGCATTCTGAATTGCAAAATGAGAAGTAATCTCATTTGTATCATTCTTGATAGTGTTAGGTTTTACTTTTTCAGGGTTTGATAGAATGAGACTAGTAAATATATAACTAGTGGTAGGTAGAAAGGTGTTTTAAACCATTTCTAAGATTTTTCATTTGGCAAAGAAAATATTTTTATCTTGCAATGTAGCCTTGTTTCACTTACTCCTTAAATGAATGGCTGAAACAAATGAATAAAGTACATCTTTTTTAAAGTATGCTATTTTAAAGTCTTCAATCTTTAATCTTAGTGTGATCTGATCAATGTTATGTATGGTAACACCATTAACTTACATTTAGGTCACTCTATATTATTATTTTCCCCAAAAAGGATTCCTAGAACTTTTACAAATACTCATATATTTTTCTTGGCAATTTAAAACATGAGCATAAATCTTTCCAATCATCTTTGTTAAATATCAAGCATGCCCATTTAGAGCTTTCTAGTTTGTGCCTTTCCACATATGAGCCATCTTATTCATTCTCATGGCTTTGGAATACTTACTTCCTTGACATCTATCACGGTCATTCTTAAAATGCCTCTTCCAAGTTAAATCACCAGACTACCATCCAGATAGCTCATCTCATTCATTTAAAATCATCATGATTCTATTAAAAAAGAGGTATTTACTAACAGTACAACATTATTACAGTCCATCAATGCATCTAAAGATCATGAAGAAAACTCTGTACTTTCTTTGGTATCATGTATCAATTTATATGTGTTTATAAATTCTCAGAGATTTTGGGTATAATTACTTATAACATACTAAAACTCTTATAGGATATATTTTCTTGATTTTTAAGATGTATTTCAGATAGGCCTAAATTATCATATATATATATGATATAGAAAAAAGTATTGATTAAAATAATTTTAGATAGAGTTCAGTATAATAGGATTTTGCATGACTCATTTTAAGTAGAAAATATTTTATGAATCTAAAAATTAAAAATTGTTTTGAATGTCAGAATTCTTATATGTGCTTAATGTTTAACCTATATTCTCAATTAAAGCTTATTAGAAAAAGAAAATTCCATTCATGAAAATATAACCAATGAACTAAACTAAAATTTCTAAAAATATAATAATGTGAATAATTAATTTATTATATATTCATGTGAAAATTGGTATAATATTTCAATGGAAAACATATTTTAATGCATAGGTTTTCCCAAAATAAATATAAATTGCATTCTCAATTAAAAGACTAAAGCATTTTGATTTGTTTAAGAATGTTTAAGAGCTTTAATCATTCATTTTATTTCCCCAAACATTTCTTACTTACAATGAATTTAATAAGGAGTATGCATGTAGAGATGAAAAGAATTTGAATTACAACACAATCTTTATACATTTTGAGAAAGTCAACAACAAATAAAAAGTGTGTTTCACTTACATATGAGACATTAGTAAATCATTGTTTTGCACTAAAATGTGCATATAGAATTTTGATTTGAAAAATGCAATGACTGCATTGTGGTACTGGAAGCTAATTAGACGTTCAGAAACAATTAAATGCATTCCAATTCCTCAATAACAATGGAATCCCTTTATTTAAAACAATACATACGATTGAGACCAAAAAAAGTCAAGTTTTAAAATCCTTTACTTTTATGAAAATCATTTAAGATAGGTCCTAACTGCCAAATAAAAATTTGTGTCTTATTTTATAGAAAGAGAGTGTCTTTTGCCTTATACTTAATCAGTGACTA